CTATGTGTCCAACACTTCAGGCAGTGATTGACTGCAAAGGATTTGCAACCAAGTATTAAAACTGACTGTTTAATTGATGATTATGTTAGTTTGTCCAAATACTTATGAGCCCTTAAAGTCGGGGGACTGTGTGAAGAAATGGTTGTAATTCCTACACGGTTCATTCTACATTTTTGAAAAAAGCCTTAAATGAAAGCTGACAGTCTGCACTTTAAGCAGGTATTCATTGTTTCATTTAAAACCCATAGTGGTGGTGTACAGAGCCAAAATGACGACAACTGTATCATTGTCCAAATAATTATGGAAATGACTGTATTTTTTTCCATCAAGTGGCAATGGGCTTCCATACCTTAGCAGTTCCACCAAAGAGAGATTTACCCTCTGAACTTCTCAGATTAAACCCCCAGAGATTATAAATTTCACAAAAAGATAAAAGTAGGACAGAAATACAAATTTGTGCAGAAATCAGTTTTTCTTATTTCCCACACTATTTGTCCTTCATTATCTAATAAACTCCCTGATAGATTGTATGTTCCTTTGGTTCCCAGTCCCCTCAGCAAAAAAAATAGTCCCCATAAAACTAACACCACCTTGAGAAGCTACAAAATGCTATTTATGCATTGATTTATCAGTAATACTCTAATCAAGTAATGTATGAATGAAATAAGTCACAGGAGCCATTTTACAGCGGGAGTACTTTGACCTTTGTAAAGGAGTTTAAATGTAGGACTTTTTCTTGGAATTGAGTATGGCTTTTATTTTTTTGGTTGTTGTGTTATGTAACAGTTGTAATCATAAATAACCTATTCATCCAGAATGGCTGCAAGGTTTTTACATGACTACAGCAATATTCTTGACCCTTCTTCATGTTATTTAGTTGGCAGAAATCCCCCAAAATTATTTTTTTTGTTATTTCAAGTCAATATTAACACACAAACACACACACACACACACACATAAATAACTGCACGTGGCTGTTTATGTTGTCTTATCAGAATTTAAAAATCCTGCTTTAACTCCTAACCTCAAAAAATCTTATCATAAAGTTTGATTTGCCATGTCATTATATGAGTTATAATACATAACAAAATATCCCCTTTGGCATGTATTAGAAATCAAAATGTTATATCATAGACATTATTTAGATGTTTCACAAATTTTCGATTTAAATGAGAGAAATCAACAAAAAGACAAAAAAGGTCTAATCTAGCCTTAAAAAAAATATATGTATAATTGAAGCCAAGCAACATTTTGATTTACTTACTAAACCTCCTCATAGTGACATAATGACAAAAAGTTATTACTTTTTTGAGTATTTGTTATGTCAAATTTACTCTTAGCGTGAGGTTGCGCAGATTTCATATTGACGTGGTGCCAGAGTCACACCAAAGCAATAGTCCATCACAAGCTTCACCCCAGCAGGCATGGAGAAGGTGAAGTGCTGCATGAAGGAGGTGAAGAAGAGGAAAAGCTCCATCCTGGCCAGGTTCTCTCCGAGACATGCCCGCTTACCTGAGACAGGAAAACAAACAGAAACAAACTGAAAATGTCTTTGGCACAGTTTTGGCCCAGAGTTCAGACTAATTTAAGACAACAGTAGTAGACATTCTCATACTGTAAGGTCTTTCTAAAGAGAAGAACTGCTAACTGTTGGGTTAACCATGACAAACTTTGTCCTGATTTCAGGTTTAGACAAAAGGTCAGAGGTTCACCAAAATAATTAGGCACACTTTATACGACAACGATTTCAACTGAAAATGGTAAACTTTAGTTGCGTTTTGGCTGATCGTTTACACAACAGCAGCGTTTTGGGTGCCTGAAAACACAACATTTTGAAAACGGGTTCCAGAGTGCAGAATTCAGTTGTGCAATACGGTTCCAGTCACTAGGCATGCGCGAGAAAGTCAACCGTCACAACAACAATGCCAAGCTCTGTTTGTGCTGCTCACCCTGTTGATTTGAAGTGAAATGTTGATCTGTTACTGTAGCAACTCCACCTCGTCGTCCATCCAGACAAAGTTATCTGTGCATGCTTTCGCCATTGTGTCTTCTTTGTTTTGGTTTGTAATCACGGCATTGTAGAGGAAGGCGCTTCAGCACAGGTGCATGGCGTCATGCCGTGGTGTTGCTTTGCAAATTTACACTGCCACCCATTGGCCTGGCATGCATACTACAACGTTTCCAGTAGATTTTGCGGCTCTGTGTGAACGGGGATCGTTTCAATAACGTCGCCATATAAACGCAGAAGTTTTTTAAAACGCAAAGGACAGACTTTTCCGTTTTTAGAGAAACCGTTGTCGTCTAAACAGGGCCTTAGTCAAACATTGCCAATGTTTGGCTCTGTTGGTGCCCACTGGTAGGGCAAAAGTCAAATATTCCTGGGATGACACTGCAGTGATTTTTTTTAATTTAACCTTTATTTAACTAGATAAAAGACCCACTGAGATCAAGACCTATTTCACAAGGGTGACCTGGCCAAGAAGGGCAGCAGCACAATTCATAATAAATACCACAAATGTAAAGACAGAAAAAAGATACAAACATTGAAATATAGAAATCTAAACAATTTGACAAATAAAGTGCAGGAGGTATGGTTTCAGTAACGGCTTAAGAACAAATGCACTGTTTGATAGATTCCCGTTCTCGGCCTTTTAGGAGAGCGAAAGGCTTCAGGTGAAATAAGTTCTGGTATTTTTAGTTCAGATTGGAGAGTATTCCAAGCAGAGGGAGCAGAGAAACTGAACGCTTTTTTTCCCATTTCAGTCCGAACACAAGGAGCAAACGGGTGCAAAATGTTATTAGATCGTAAGGCATAATGGCTTTAAGTTCTCTGAAGAAAAGTGCATAAAGAGGCAGGAACCAAGCCAAGAAGAGCTTTATAAATCAGAGTTATCCAGTGTGTATACCTTCGTACATTCAAGTACAGGCAAAAAAGTAGCCAATATCAGAAGCTTCCGAGCTCTGAGGGAAAAATATGACTTATTTCTGTAATAGAAACCGAGTTTCATCCTTAATTTGGTGACCAAATTTCTAATGTGAGCATGAAAGCTCCCCATCAATAATAAGCCCAGTTACTTGTAACTCTAGCTCAAAAGCTTGAGCGGTTCTAATTGAGGGGATATTCTCCAGGAGAAAAGATGAATTAGAAAAGAGCATTACTTTGGATTTTTCAGCGTTTAAAACCAGTTTCAGTTGTTCAAGACGAGTCTGCACTACATCAAAAGCGTACTGCAAGAATTCAAATGCCTGTGCAATAGAGTGTGAACAGCGATAAATTACAGTTTCATCCACATACAAATGATATGAGGCATTTGACAAGTTTGTGCACAGATCATTAATGTAAATTGTGAACAAAATGGGTCCTAAGACTGAGCCTTGAGGTATGCCTTTTGTGACCTCAAGAAAGGCGGAACTAACTCAGCCATCTGAACACATTGCGTTCTACTTGCCAAATAGTCTGTAAACCAAGTGGCTGCTTGTTTGGAGATGCCAATCTTGAGGAGAATTTTCAACAAAAGACTGTGGTCCACAGTGTCAAATGCCTTTGACAAGTCAATGAACAAGGCAGCACAAAACTTTTTAGAGTCCAATGCCTCAAACACATCATTAAAAACTTTTAGGGCAGCAGTAGCAGAGCTATGCTGCTTCCTAAAACCTGACTGAAGTGGCTTTGATCAGTGACTGGCATTCATCACAAGATGAATGTAGGTATGTTGTTCTTTTCTTGATCATCAGAGTTTTTTCTGGACCAATCTGCAATCATTATGTGCACCGTACAGTCTCAGTGTACACTGGGACATGTTCCAGGCTCCTGTCTAAACAGGTAAATATACTGAAAAAACAAGACATTGTGTTGCTCCTCACCAGCAGAGAAAGGGATGAAAGCAGCTGGCTTCACAAACTTGCCCTCCTCATTCAGAAAGTGTCCTGGGTTGAAGGTGTTGGGAGTCTTCCATTCATTCTTGTCGAACAGCACAGAGGTCAGATTGGGGATTATTATAACTCCCTGGTGGTTGGAATCATAATGACAATTCATGAAGAAAGAACAGACAGTACATGGTAATGATGTGGCATAAAAATGCGTAGGAGAACTGACCTTTGGGATTGTGTATCCTCCCAGTTCGATGTCCCTGTTGGTAACATGAGGCACGCTGAGAGGAACTATGTTGCCCATCCTCTGGATCTCATGTATTACAGCATCAGTGTACGGCAGGTTTGCACGATCTTCCATGGACACCTGTCTGGACTGTCCAATGACTTTGTCTATCTCAGCCTGGACCTTTGCTGTGCAACAGGAGAGGAACAGGCAGAAGGGAGACTTTATTTCATCAACAGTTTGCAAAAGACCCATGGAGAGATTGAGCACAATGCAGCACTGCCACATTAGTGAACGGATGTATTTGTGTTCCAGCTGAACTACAAACTTGAATCAATCACAATCAGTTATGCAGTATCTTTTACAGGTACCTGTTTGTTGCACAGAATTAGTCGTGAATGTGAAGTTCACTTGTAATGACACAACATTTGTCACCTTGAAGTAAATATAATCACATGATGTATCAATAATTTTCCACCTATTAAAAGAGCACTTGTTCTGGTGTCACCTATTTACACAGAGCCGTGTTGGCCTCGTCAGTGATCTTACCCTGGATCTCAGGGTACTTTGCCATGTAGAGGAAAGCCCAGCGCAGAGTTGTGGCCGTGGTCTCAGAGCCAGCCGCAAACAGATCCAAGAGAGACATAACCAGGTTTTCCTCATTAAAAGTACTGTCAGCCTGCTCCTTATTCTGAGAATATATACAAATACAAGCATTCAAAAATGCTGCGAAATAATTTAGAACAAGAACATTAGAACGTAAGTTAATAATAACAATAATAATAAGAACATTAAAAGGCTTTTAATATGTGCTGGACCTTGTATCTTGAAAAATTTTGAAATGCCTTTGCTTTGCTAGACTACAATAGGTGTATGCTGTTGGAGGTAAGGCCTTAAAAGATAGTGCTGTCGGGCAGAGTCTATGGCAAATGTGCATGTAAGGTCAGACAAGCATTTTATGTAAAAAAAAAAAAATCAAAGCCACATCTAGTGTCAATCACCATCTCAATCTCTTTCAGGTAGCAGTCGATGAAGTCTCTTTGGTCTGAGGGATCCCACTTTTGTCTGTGCTGCTTAAGCTCCAGTCTAATGAAGTCCTTTACATTGTTCCAGATGTGCATGATTGTCTGATGTGGCCCTGGCAAACGTCTCATCAGCAGAGGGAAAGCATTGTAAAGCTGCAGAGGAGAGCAGATTAGAAACTATTACTTATTGATAAGCCATTTTGGTGAAAGATTTTCTATTCATGACAATCCATACCAAATATTCAAACCTGTTTACAAATCAGCTCTTGAGCATCTTACACGTTTTCCATATTGAGCTGTGTGTGTACTGAATATTACATACCTGTGTCCAAATAGAGCCTCTTGCATGAGTGATAAACTGTTTTATCATGAGGACTGCCACACAGTAGTACACAGTATTAAGATTTAATAATCAACAGCTTTAAAATGCCGTACCTGTGCCCAGATTGAGGCATGAAGATGGAAAGCTTTGCCAAAGCTCTTCATCAGTTTGATGAACTTCTCATCACCATACTCAAAGCGATGACCAAAAACCAAGGTGCAGATGATGTTGGAGACAGCATTGTTGATGACGAGGTGTGGGTTGAATGGTTTACCTCCTCAATTAGACAGAAAATTAGATATTAACTGTATTTGTGTACCATTGTTAATGTTTTGTTGTGCATACACTATTTACCTTCATAGCTACTCAAGTCCTTTGCACAGTGCGTAAATTCATTTAAGATGACGGGTTCAAGTGACTTCTTGCCAAATCCAAAATATTTGAGGGTCGACAATGCAAAACGCCTCTGCTGCTTCCATGTGTTCCCATTGCTTAACACTATACCTGATGGGAAGTACATCAAATGAAGTTAAAAATGAAAAAGAAAAAGAAAGAAAATGACGGAATATTCTTTTACAACTCAAATCAACTTTATGGCACATTTCATACAACAGTAACACAAAGTGCCTCACAGAGGTTAAAAACAACAAAAAAACCAAAACAGAAAACAAAAAAGAAAAGAGAAAACCCAACCCTCCCACCCCACATAGAGATACATAAATATGCACATAAGCACACACACACACACACACACACACACACACACACACACACACACACACCCACAAGCTCACACCCACACACACTAGCTATCACTAAAGAGACATGGCTGAGCACCAAGACCTCAGGCAAGGAAAAAGCCACCTCTGGGGGCCGTCCACACTGAGAGGGCCCACGGTCCACGGCCACAGGGAGCGCCGCCGTAGAGACCACCCCAACCCGGGCAAACAGGAGGCTCCACACTGAGGTGCAGTGCCCTTCAGCCACCAAGGTCAGAGCTGTCCACTGGACGGCACCCCTATCGGTAGACCAGGAACAACTCTCAGTCTGGTCGGCCCCCATGAGGAAACACTGGAGCTAAATACTGAGGGACTAAAACAGTAGGATAGGATAAAAGGTATTAAAGAAAACATAAAATTTAGCTCATAATATTAAGTTAATAACTAGGTAAGAATGATCTAAAACATCGACATAAAATGCATCAAAACTACAACCTATAACTAAAATAACAAAAGATAAAGATTATATGAGATAAGAACGTAAAAAGAGGAAGGGTAAGAGCATTTTAAAAATAAAATAGATAAATCGGTTAAAAGCCTGATAAAAGGAATTTAAAATAGATTAATAAAGAGATCAGTTAAAAGCCTGATTAAAAAGATCAGTCTTGAGCTTCCTTTTAAAAACATCAACAGATACAAGTTGGGTACATACACATTACATATGAAACAATAACATTCTATGTTCTGCAAAAAGTTTAACTTTCAACACAATTTATATCATTTCAAGACAAGAGACAAGGCAGTTATTGTTCAGTCAGTTATTGGATCAGTGTCCACACACAGTGGCCACATACTTCTTTGGCTACAGAGAACATGACGGTATGTCACGCCGTGTTGGATGGGGGCACCATCTTGTGAGGTACGCACTCCGTTACCTCTGTTACAAAATATCGATCCAAATATCGTTGCTTGATCACTGTAGCAGGCCCAGGTAACACAACAAAATCTTCACAAGACGTTGTCCCCATCCAGAAAAAATTTAACATGGTGTGACGCTGGCTTCACATGCTCCAGAGTGTTACCTGTATATAACCAAGCTGTTATGGAATGCAATTTGAGAAGATGATAAATGCATTTAAATGTCATCTAAACACAAATTTTTTTTGACACTATTTCCACAAATGGTTCCTTAGTAACAAATAGGCTATGTTTACCAATAAGTTTGATTTTCAATTTAAAACAATATGACATAGTTTCCGTACCTTAAGAATACAAAATGAAAGGGGTGAAAATGGTAAAGCATAACATTTGAACTTAATAAAAAGTATGAGCTATATCACCAATTGTAACAGTGATTGGAGGGGAAGCATTGTCAGCGATCACACAGTGTTTTCACTCATTTATTTCCTGTTTGAGTTTAACAGGAGTCACAATAGCAGTGAGTTGAATACACTGACTTTGCATTTGTGTGTGCATTCTGTCCCCTAACCTCGTCTTTGACTTATGTCCGCATGCAGAGGGCTGGCTGGGCGGTCCACCAGGCTGTCTCCCTGATTTACCAGAGCTTCTTTCAGGACCTCAAACCCATTTAACACCACCATCCACCTTTGGCCCATTCGCAGACTGTACACATTTCCATATTTCCCTGCTAACTGAGAGTAGATGAGTGAGAGGAAAACGGCAGTGCATGGTGCTTAATATAAACATGAGTCCTATCAGTTGCATTAATAAGACATTTTTGATATCTATGATCTACCTGTGTCATACTCTCATGGGTTCTGTTGTAATCCACTGTGAATATGTTGCCCACAACAGGAAATGCCTGAGGTCCTGGAGGGAAGCTGTGCGGCCGACGGTTCTTAATATAATCTGCAGTGAGGATGAAAACTGCAGTGAAGAGCAGCAGACTTCTGACATCCCAGTCAATGTAGAATCCAATTACAGAAAAGATTGAATCCATTCTGCAAACAAGGGCTCAAACCTGCCAGGCTCAGACTACACAATATCTCTGTCTGTTAAAATGTTCCTTGGCAAAAGTCATGAATTCTGGCTGTGATTTGGCTGAGAGACATATTTCATGTTAGTCTCCGACCAATCAGAGCTTGATCTTCATGACCTGTGTGACACCATCAAAGGAGGTGATAGGCAGAGACTTCCAGGATAAACAATGTAACAAGGAATCCAAAGAGGTGTGTATGCAGGCTGTTAAGTGAAGCCAAAAAAAAAGAAAAAATAACTGAGAACTTTGTTTTACACCAACATCGTAATTTCTCTTTCACGTCAATATAACTGAAGCCTGTAATTTACTTGCATCTCCCATCAGACTGGTGTTGTCAGCCCTGAGCCAATAATAAGACACTTGGCAATAGAACAAAAGCCTACTGGCTGACATGGACTCTGCCCACTTCAAACATGGTAAAAAAGAATTTCAAATACTGTTAATCAGTGACCCCAAACAGCGTACCCTGCTCTCTTCATTTAAGCAATATCACACTCGAGGGAGTGATGTTATACTCGTATATCATCACGGCTGTTATTCGGTCATAGGCACGAGGCCGCCTGATTTGATTGTTGATTGCAGTCAGCTGTGAGGCGGAGTGATACATACACAGTGAAAAAAACGTGATGTTGTACTCCAATATCGTCACGGTTTTACTGTCTCTCGACCAATCAGATTGCACGGCCGGAACTAACTGTTGTATAAACTTGGTTAAGGATTTCAAACAGTGGTAATCAGTGACCCAAAAACAATTATCTTAATTTAGCAGTAGCCTATAATTTGTTTTATAGTGGTATTAAGGCAACATGTGATCTTATCCGATATAACACAAATAGACAGCCCACTTCAAATGATCTGATATCAGTCTTATTGTTGACTGTGTCACCCACCAACAACTAGCAAAAGCATACCAACATATACTGCCTGGAAGTGTTGTTCCTGGTCTGTCAGAAGAATGAGCTTCTGCTTTGCAAAAAAGATGTGATCATATCTTTTTAATCCATGGAAGGGGCACGTTGGACTTTTAACTAATTCTAAATGCAGTTCATAGTGTTTTATATGATCATATAAAGACATGTTTCTCTTTGCCTTTTTTGATTTATCCTTCTCATTAGCTTTCCAGTTTATCCAGAGGGTCATTTCTTTAGAGGTGAGATCAGGACTCTGCATAGGACCTTCAAGTTCACATCCTATATGACACATGTTCATACCATACCATGACCATGTAGTTTGTCAGTGTAACAGCCTTATTCCAGCTGGTTTAGTATCTCATTTAGTATCTCATTATTTTGACTTAGTAAGTCATTATTTTGACTTAGTATCTCATTATTTTGACTTCGTAGATGAAAGCTGAAGTGTTTGGGGCTACATTATCGGCTCAGATTCAACCAAATGCTTCAAAACTTATTGGACGATGCTTCACAGTGCAGATGGACATTGACCTGAAGCATATTGCAAAAGCAACCAAAGACATTTTTAAGTCAAAGAATTGGAATGTTCTGTTATGGTCAAGTCATATCATCTGACCTGAATCCAAATGAGCATGCGTTTCTCTTGCTGAAGCCAAAACTGAGGGCAAAACACCCAAAACACAAGCAGGAAGTGCAGACGGCTGCAGTAAAGGGCTGGTAGAGCTTCACCAGGGAGGAAGCCCAGCATCTGGTGATGCCTATGTGTCCAACACTTCAGGCAGTGATTGACTGTAAAGGATTTGCAACCAAGTATTAAAACTGACTGTTTAATTGATGATTATGTTAGTTTGTCCAAATACTTATGAGCCCTTAAAGTCGGGGGACTGTGTGAAGAAATGGTTGTAATTCCTACACGGTTCATTCTACATTTTTGAAAAAAGCCTTAAATGAAAGCTGACAGTCTGCACTTTAAGCAGGTATTCATTGTTTCATTTAAAACCCATAGTGGTGGTGTACAGAGCCAAAATGACGACAACTGTATCATTGTCCAAATAATTATGGAAATGACTGTATTTTTTTCCATCAAGTGGCAATGGGCTTCCATACCTTAGCAGTTCCACCAAAGAGAGATTTACCCTCTGAACTTCTCAGATTAAACCCCCAGAGATTATAAATTTCACAAAAAGATAAAAGTAGGACAGAAATACAAATTTGTGCAGAAATCAGTTTTTCTTATTTCCCACACTATTTGTCCTTCATTATCTAATAAACTCCCTGATAGATTGTATGTTCCTTTGGTTCCCAGTCCCCTCAGCAAAAAAAATAGTCCCCATAAAACTAACACCACCTTGAGAAGCTACAAAATGCTATTTATGCATTGATTTATCAGTAATACTCTAATCAAGTAATGTATGAATGAAATAAGTCACAGGAGCCATTTTACAGCGGGAGTACTTTGACCTTTGTAAAGGAGTTTAAATGTAGGACTTTTTCTTGGAATTGAGTATGGCTTTTATTTTTTTGGTTGTTGTGTTATGTAACAGTTGTATATAATCCTATATATCCTATTTACCCAGAGAGGTTACAAGGTTTTCACATGACCACAGCAATATTCTTTACCCTACTTCATGATCTTTAGTTGGTAAAAATCCACAAAACTTTAGGTCCGTCACTCAGCGTCAGTACAGTTTCAGTTCAACGCCGGAAGTTGCACACATAATTCATGGTATCATGGGGGCTAGGAATAAGGTGGATAACAATTATTCTATTGTTAACAATAAGGATTTTAATCCCATGTGACGGCTGTGTTTATTTGACGTCTGGTGGCATTTACAATGTCATGTCAAATGCCAGGTAAGTTGAGGTGAACAGTGAGCTCATTTGATTTGATGCAGATTCTCCTTCTTTCACCTGAAGCAGTCAGACACACATTTGACATTAGGCTGCAGCTTGATTCCAGCCGTCATCTGGAGTAATGTGCATCTAGCACACAACCACTTATTCACCAGACAGTTGTTCAGATGGAATATGGTTGTCGTGGTGAAAAAGGAATCTCTGTGGTTCTGATCAGGCTGCAATCTGTAGGGCCAAAAAAAAAGCCGATGTGGAAGTGCCTAAAACTGCAGTTCCTCGAATGGCCACATGAGGCTGTCTCCAAAAGCAAGTCAAACCCTCAAACTTTATAGACCCCGAATTTTAAAGCAGAAATACACATGTTTACAGCCTGGTATAGCTAAATTCCCCATTTACAACAACTGTACAGGAACTGAATGGCTTTCATTTTTTTAGTTGTTGACCACGGCAATGTTCTTTACCCTATTTCATGTTCTTTAGTTGGTAAAAATCCCCAAAAATTTAATTTTAAAATCCTGCTTTAACTCCTAAGTTAAAAAAAAAAATCTTATAAAATTTGATTTGCCATGTCATTATATGAGTTATAATACATAACACAAATCGACCTCCATATCCTCTTTGGCATGTCTTACAAATCAACAATAACTTCATAAACTTTTTTTAGATGTATCACACATTTTTGACTTAAATGAGAGAAATCAACAAAAAGACAAAGTGACTCATGTCTTGTTCAGACAAAAGAAAAGGTCTTATCTAGCCTTATTTATTCTTAAATATTTGATCTAGAATTGAAACCAAGCAACATTTTTGATGTACTTACTAAACCTCCTCATAGTGACATAATAACAAAAAGTTATTACTTTTTTTTAATATTTTTTATGTCTAAGCTACTCTTAGCGTGAGGTTGCGCAGATTTTATATTGACGTGGTGCCAGAGTCACACCAAAGCAATAGTCCATCATAGGCTTCACCCCAGCAGGCATGGAGATGGTGAAGTGCTGCTGAAGAGGAAAAGCTCCATCCTGGCCAGGTTCTCTCTGAGACACGCCCGCTTACCTGAGACAGGAAAACAAACAGAAACAAACTGAAAATGTCTTTGACACAAGTTTTGGCCCAGAGTTTATACTAATCTAAGACAACAGCAGTAGACATTCTCACACTGTAAGGTCTTTCTAAGGAGCAGAACTGCTAACTGTTGGGTTAACCATGACAAACTTTGTCCTGATTTCAGGTTTAGACAAAAGGTCAGAGGTTCACCAAAATAATTAGCTAAACATTGCCAATGTTTGGCGCTGTTGGCCCACTGGTAGGGCAAAAGTCAAGTATTCCTGGGATGACAATGCAGTGATCAGTGACTGGCATTCATCACAAGATGAATGTAGGTATGTTGTTCTTTTCTTGATCATCAGAGTTCTTTCTGGACAAATCTGCACTCATTATGTGCACCGTAGAGTCTCATTGTACACTGGGACATGCTCCAGGCTCCTGTCTAAACAGGTAAATATACTGAAAAAACAAGACGTGTTGCTCCTCACCAGCAGAGAAAGGGATGAAAGCAGCTGGCTTCACAAACTTGCCCTCCTCTTTCACAAAGTGTCCTGGGTTGAAGGTGTTGGGAGTCTTCCACTCTTTCTTGTCGAACAGCACAGAGGTCAGATTGAGGATTATTATAACTCCCTGGTTGTTAGAATCATAATGACAATTCATGAAGAAAGAACATGGTAATTATGTGACATAAAACTTACATAGGAGAACTGACCTTTGGGATTGTGTAGCTTCCCAGCTGAATGTCCCTGTTGGTAACATGAGGCACGCTGAGAGGAACTATGTTGCCCATCCTCTGGATCTCATGTATTACAGCATCAGTGTACGGCAGGTTTGCATGTTCTTCCATGGACACCTGTCTGGACTGTCCAATGACTTCGTCTATCTCAGCCTGGACCTTTGCTGTGCAACAGGAGGGGAACAGACAGAAAGGGAAACTTTATTTCATCAACAGGCTGGAGAAATGGAGCACAATGCAGCACTGCCACGTTACTGAATAGATATATTTGTGTTCCAGTTGAACTACAAACTTGAATCAATCACAATCAGATATGCAGTATCTTTTACAGGTACTGTTTGTTGCACAGAATTAGTCATAAATGTGAAGGGCACTTGTAACTGTACAACATTTGTCACCTTAGAGTAAATGTA